AATATGTCCAGTCCAGGTCTCCAGGGGCTCCCAGCGTCTCCTATTCAGGCCCTTCAGCCATTAGAGCCTCAGCGACGGGCCAGTAGTGGGCAGGCAACCCCGACGGAGGGTGCCTCGGCCGGCACGTTCTGATACCAGTTTCGCTGCATGTGCATGTGTGTGTTACCCTGGAACATTCATTGAGAACATCGTATCCCCGCAGTTCTCTGACTTGAGCGAGGTTCAGAATATTTTAAACAACCGAAAAGTATCACACATCTATTCATTAAATTATGCTCTTCAGGTATAGTAACAGCGCTAAATTACAAGCCCGGTTCAAATATATATTTGAAGAAATTAAGGCCATCCAGACAATAATTTGTTATATTAGCGGTTAGCGTAATGTAACGTTGTTTTACACTAAACGAGAAGGCTTAACTATTAATCTAATTTAATCTCAAACTTTTTTCGGGAGGAATACAGAATGATTAATGAATCAAGTAATACATGAATTATTTATATTATAATCACTAATCCGAATTATGTTTGAGCTCTCAGATCAGAAAATTCAGATTCCGAAAATAAATTATATGTTAGATCAAAATTTGAATGGTGTAGAGATGAACGCTATAACGCCTTGTTGGCTTGACTCTTTGTGTCACTATAGTGATTAGCTAAAGCGATTTATGTTCATGAATCCAATGGCATATATGTTAGTCGATATGTTCCCGCTTAATTAATTTCTAATACTTTAATAACATGTAAACGAAGAAAGCCTAAAAACTACACAACCCTCGCTGTAGTCCGCCATCCTCACATACATTCCCCTCACTGAGCCAGAGCCAATACTAGCTTATTTCCGTCCTCCCATGATAATTAACAAACTATGATTCTTACACGTACTGTAGTTTTATCGTTTGTATTAGGAATAATTGAAAAGACTTATCCTACGAGGCAATCGCCTCTCAATACCAGTTTCAAACGCTCTCTTATATAGACGCGTTGAAAAATTGGGATGATTTATTATTACCATATTTAGTTTGGTGGCGATTCTAAGCTTCACACAATTTTTACAGCTATTTGCGTGGAGTTAGAAACCAAACAACTCTCTAAATCTTGCGGTCTCAGCTAACTTCCCGGTCACCTCATCAGTTTCGATCACAATTGATAGCTAAAGCTCGAATCACAACTCACTGCTCCAATCTTAGTCGACCACTTGGTCGTTCCACCCTGTGTATCTCTCCTTTGCTCATTTCATAAGCAAAATATAATACCAGAATAAAATTTAATTGAAGGAGAATTTAATCACCTTACTCCGTTTTTACGCATAATTATTCATAAAACGTTTTTCTGATTAAAAAAATAGGTTGGATTACAATTTTTAATTGTTGCTATAATGTGAGTAAAGAATTTTGCACATAAAACAGTGTGAATTATCACTGGCCAATTAAATCTTTTTCTTACGTTTCTTTTAAGGTCAAAACTATACAAAGATATTCATATTGTGCAAGATATACTTGTAAACGTAAATTTATCTTGGTTTTTCCTGACTGCAAAGTTCAGTGCCAAAAAACGTGAACAACGATTACTGGGCATCGATAATTACAAGCACTTGGAAAAACAATTCAGTAAATAATCGCCTACATGCAATGCCTTATGTGGCTTGACAGCTAGCTGCTGGAAGTAATCCTCGAGAACCGAAGGTATTGTAGGCCAGATTGTTTCAAGCGATAAATTTCATGATCCCTGACCGGAAGACGTACAAAAAATGTTCAATGAATTAAGAATGTACACGAGGTCTCCAGCGGCACGCACGACATCTTGACGCCGCGCTGCCGGCCGCGCCTCACGTCGTCCAGGAGCTGCAGAGAACCCGAGTCCCCGAGCACGTGGGCGAACCCGGCGCTGGGGAAAGAGAATTGTAACACGTGAGTAACAAGTGAGTAGCAGGCGCTGGGGGGGAGAAGAGTAACACGTGAGTAACATGTGAGTAGCAGGCGCTGGGGGGGAGAAGAGTAACACGTGAGTAACATGTGAGTAGCAGGCGCTGGGGGGAGAAGGAGAGAGATCCTGTGCGTAGCAAGTGATGTGTCAAGAGAGGGATCATATGAAATCAGATGAGGTTGAGGGAGAAATCATGTGGGTAGCATGTGATGCCATGGGAGAGATCATGTGAGTGCCAAGTGATGTCTCTAAGTAGTTCATACGTTTTAACCAGCAAAACTAAAAAAATATAAGTCAGTACTCACTGCAATGAGTGATAGAGAGCGCATTTTCTCGTCGACGAAAACTCGTGGACCTAACGAGCACAATATCGCTTTTTTTCATGAATGATAAAATGCGCTAAAAACCGCCAAAGACACAATAGCCAGGCAGCAATAGACACAATTGCTGTCTTTCCTCTCATCAAAACATGAAGATAAATTCATTCAGATATGAATCGAACTGAAATCATGTTAAATAATTTTAAACATGGAAAAGGANACCGAATATCTAGGAACTTACATAATGTAGGCGTCCAGATCTTGAGTATTTTGATCATCCAGGAAGTCAAAAAGTGAACAGTGTATGCAAGGCAGAGGTTTACGGCTCTCCCTCCAGAGTTTGTTGAGTCCAGTAAAAATCCACTCAACGTCAACCGATGCAACCTCTTTCTGTAATTTCACTTTTCGTGAAATTGGGTAAGCCGGCAAGTATTTCTTGTCTAACGAGTAGTAAGGAAATTTAGGATGCATGAGCATGTCATTATCATATGCAGTGAAGTCGTGCGGGTCAAGCACGCTGTCAGAAGGAGTGTTGGAGGCGAGATCTGACGTTGTGCCGTGCGTAAGCCCGTCTCGTTTCATCCTAAGTAAGTAAACCAATTTTTGCTTATCGTCCAAAATTATCGAATCACCTTTTTTTCGTTTGCTCATTGGATCAGTCCCTGAAAATTCTGCAAATTTCGGTGCGTGCAACTGCTTTGTCGAGAGTGTGGAATTAGAAACAGGGATAGTGTAAATTCTTGCAGGAGAAGAGTTGTAGAAAGTTGAATTTTCGGGCGCAGTTTCCGATTGTCGCTCAGGCAGACTATGAGGCAGAGACCGGTAATAATGTGAACTATGAAATTTATCTTTGAGGTTCTGAATTTTTTGCTCGACTTGTGACTCGACATTTGCTTCAATTTTACCTTCAAGGTGTGAATAGTCATTTGTCCCAGAATGTCGAAGAGTTGCCTGTTGGATGGCTGCCGCATTTGTTTCTCGCCCACTAGCTTCATTTCCTTCTCGTAGGACGGCAGCAGTTTGGGAAGCCACTGACGACGCTCTTCGATCCGCTTCAGCGACTACACCAGCTGCAGTTATTTGTCGTATCTCCGTGATATTTATTGGAACGACTCCAACTTCCATCAAAGCTTCATTATTCTCAACGGAGGTTATTAATTGAGTTGAATTTTGTACAGTTAGTTGAGTTCCGTTGTTGGATTGAGTCGAATCACCGCCTGCTACTCTAGTGCTTGAAGAATTAACATCACGTGCTGCAGCAGCGACAGCAGATTTGGATTTCGTGGTGTCGAGTCTTTTGTAGGAACTGTGCTTCTTCTTGCCGTAGAAAATTAATCCAGGATAGCCAGTGGCACCCCGCTGTCCCCGACATCCTTTCTCCCCGTCGTGTCCTGGATGACCATATCTTCCACCAATACCTGGCTCGCCCTTTGATCCCTTACCTCCATCTTTGCCCTTATCGCCAGTTTCTCCTCTGTCTCCACGATGCCCAGGTTTTCCTTTCCATCCTTTATATCCCATTAATCCTGACTCTCCCCGAAATCCCATGAGCCCAGTGTCTCCCATCATCCCTTTGTCTCCAAGCGAACCGCGATGCCCCGGCATTCCCTTCCATCCCTTCCACCCCTTCGCTCCTTTTTCCCCCTTGGGGCCTACGTAGGGTTGTGAATACAGGGTAAATGTGAGCCCTATTATGAGCACAACCAAAAATATATTGGCTAATATTTTCAGTGGATACAGAAATTTCAAATCGTTATTACCGATATCCATGAACAAAACTTCGGTTGAGTAATAATCGTTATTGTAGCCCTCATTATGGTAGTTGTCGCTTCGCTTTATTCTTGGTTGTGACGTCGGAGATAAATCTGACGATGCGATGGATTCGTTGCCTAGCTTAGTTTTCATAATCCATCGGAAAATTTTTGACGCTAAAGTTTTTTGTTCGGAAACTGTTAATATTTGGTCAAATTTGCGTAATTGTGAAGCAAGAAACCTAAGTAGATCGTTGTCCAAACGATTGAAAATGTGTACTAGTTTTCTATGGACCTCGATTTTTTTATTGTTGCTTAAACAGATGAAGCTGTAGTTGGCGGAGACTTTTTGCTGTAGCCAAAGGAGAATATTTTGAATGATGACTGGAGGAAAATGTTCTTTCATTTTGTTTGATAAAAAATAGGCGACAAAATCTTGGAGACTATTTGCACTTCCACTAGAAAATCTGTTGCACTTCTCTCCAGTGCTTTGAGAAAGTCTAGAAAAGAGCTCAATGATATAATACACAACCTCATCAACGGTTTTCGCACTTCTCGGGCCATTATTGATTCGGTCATCACTTGAAAGGAACCAAAAGTCCTCTTCACTCATCAGCCGTGAAAATTTTTGAGTTGCTCCGTCGAAAGCAACTTCTCTTGGTGGTGTTTTTAACTTTTGAATTCCAACCATAATTGGAAAAACTTGTTTGTATTCATAAAATGAGGTTGACTTCAAAATTATAGACGGACGGTAGGGACTATCTTGGTGAGAGTGAAGTGTTTGATCAGTTGAGTTGGGCTGGGAAGGAGTCGCCCACGGGTGGCCAGCCAAGCTGAGCAGGAGGATCAGCGTCCGCAGCAACGGAGCCGTCTGCGGTCGGCCTCGCAACCACATCTGCAAACGCACATTAGAAGCCTGAATATTCGTTGCATTTTATGAATTCATAAACTCCTTGAACTTCAAGTAATTCCATTACAATCTGCAATTTTTTTGTGTGCATCTACTGCCCAAATAGGGATTTCATATGTTTTCAGATGAGAAAAATCTTCTGATCACCTTCATTACTATATACGCAGTCAGACAATTGAATTGTGAAAATAACATTTCAATCTTATGCATGAGGGGGAAGAGGGTGACTAAAGAAGTAGCAGAAATAAAATTTGCAATTCTCCAAGTTTTTGGATAATTCTCGCTTGTGTTCAATACTTAAGTTAAGCAAGCTGAATTATTATGTTTCATCCGCTTTTGAGTTCATTCAAATAGATTAAAAATTTTGAATGTAACTCCATAAATCAAAATATTCCAAATTGTATCCATCCAGTAAACACCATTACAGCCACCACAACACAAATTGAAAATACATAGTAATGGTCTGTGACTACGAACTGAGACAAGCAAGTGCCGTGGACTCTGAACTAAGTCAAACGTGGCGCAATATCCAAGTTTCCTCGCATTACACGCAGTCACGACACATCACACGGTCAATTTTGAATGAAACATTCAGGTTTCCCAAATTAAGCCGAATAATTAAGATTATCATGCAGAGTGTGCCTGCATCCACTCGTTGCGCGAAAAAGTATCTGAAAATGCATAAGTTGTCCCGAAAGAAATGGACAATAGAAAGTTGGACAATCCAGGCAATTTCGCTTAAGGTTCGATATTCGACGGCATTTGTCACTCAAAATATATGAGAGTTGAATTGATTCCACCTTGATGTTTCATTCAGGAACAACTCCCTTTTTGAAAATTTCCTGATAAAGCACACGAAATTCTACATTTTCTGAAGCTCCGAAACCCATTGCTGGGAATGAATCAAGTTATAAAGGATTACGACAGAATATGTCAAGGGATAATCTATTACAAGGGATAATCACTCACATTTGTTCCTTGTCACAGGAGCCCGGCAAATCCTTGTCGATGTGGAATTTAATCGAGATGAGAGATTTTTTACAAAAACCAGAGTAGAAAATTATCATAAAGAAGCATGAAATTTATACTTCAAACAAGGGGTAAATTATCGAGCAGCTTCACCGTTTGTTGAATAGATTGTGACAATATTAGAAGCTAATGTGGCAATTTGAAGTCCGAGACCGAGAGCGTGGATGGCTTGCTATAGCTCGGCTGGCTGACGGACGACTGCTGGAAGTGCAGCGGATTTGGAGTAGTCCTGCGGCGAGCGGAGGATGGCGAGCAGCTCCTGGGTCAGGTCAGCGCGCGCCGCCCCCAACGCAAACCTGCTCGACCGATGCTGCCTTCATATTATTATAACTATTATTATTCCTTGAGCCTATCCCATTCCTATTATTCTTTCCTATTATTATTCCCTATATTATTCCTATTTTTCATTATACGGTAATCAAAACTCGCAATTAAGTCTCTACTTCATTCCTCATCCTAAAACCAGCATAGATTCAAATTCTTATAATAATGTTTGAAATATTTGTAAGTATGAACGACAAATACAAACTTATATTTTGTAGAATGATTACGATTGAAATAGGGAAAGAAGACAACGGCGGAAAATTAGGCATGTCTACAAAGTCTACCAAGATTAATGCCAAGTAGTCAGATTTGTAGTGACCGTTTTGTCACAATTTAATAACTCATTTTAAAGGCATTAAATTAAATTTCAGTAGAAAGTGGAAAGACAAATGGGTCATACTTTATGTACGTTTGATGGCTGCTTGGCTAGTGAGAAAACGGAGGTAATAGCTTTCTAACATTCCTTTGTAAACCAATTACAAACATGGATATATCTACAGAAAAATATTAATATCATCACTAGGGGAAATTTTGATCAGAGTACGCTTAAGTCAATGTACCCAGCCCGTTATTTTTCAGCGGGAATATATTATTTGAGTTGAAGCCATTTTGACAATTATCATTTTTTATTTGTAGTAGTATGTATAGTAGTATATAGTTGTGTCCAAGAAAGCGAGTTAATTAATTAATTAATTTATTAATTGAATCAGCCCAGTTGAAGATCGTCATCGACATGTGAGAGACACGACCAGCCATTCTTTATTATAGAATGAAATAACATAAATTTATTCGAAACATTATTCAATCTACACATAAATTTTAAGTACAATACTGCTTTCAAGTGGTGCACCAAAATTTGTCAGTAAGGAAACTTGTAAAATCATCTATATTGCATGAACGGCAAAGAGAGTTGTAGAGAAGGTGAGATTTATAGTGTAACCGCCGGTTTGTAAAGAGTACGTCTGAAGCTAATGGAAAAGTTTCCATGCCTTTCAGGAACAACATTATGCATAACCATATGAATAAACTTGATTACTCTCTTAGTCCGGCATTATTTCTGTACTCTGCAATGTACATGACTCGGGGGAGAATTTTTTAAGAGCTCTCACTCACGAAACACAAATTAATATTAAGACTGAAAAATTTAAAATATCGAATGAATTATCATTTGTATAATCGAGCATAATAAGTTCTTGTTCACCCACATTTATAAATGTTTGCTGAATTCACAAATTTCAGTTCCTAAATTGAATATTTAACACGATATCAGCATTGCACAATAAATTTTTTTAACTGTATTCTAAGTCAGTGAATTTATCTGCGAGTAAAGTGATAAAAAAATTTGAAGGTATTTATAGCGCAACATGGAGCGCCTCTCCTCGTCCAGAGCACCCGGTACTTACGGGCTTCCGGTTCGCCCACGTGCTCGGGGACTCGGGTTCTCTGCAGCTCCTGGACGACGTGAGGCGCGGCCGGCAGCGCGGCGTCTGGAAGCACTGCAGAAAAATTTCAGATCGAATTTCAACGAACGCCAGCAAAATTTCAGATCGTGAGGCAGTAAACATCCACACAAGATTTATCTTTCATGTCCATATATATAAGTCAAATTCTCATGTACAACGTTCTTTAAAGTTTACGCTTATTGGAACTAATCTGGCTACCAACTACCGAAGGTAGGTTACGTGCTCGAGC